AAATTCTGATGTGCATGCACAGTATTTTCTCGTTTCATTCTGGCTTATCAGTAAACTCAAACAATGTTGAGTCATCGGTCTGTTTTGTTTTCTTTTTTTTGTTGGACTTGTTTTCCCCTTGAGATATGTTATCATCGCTCGGATGTTATAAGGTACCATTCGAAAAATATTCCAGGTACAATATGCGTCGTAATTTATCTCATAATCATCAATAATACTAATAAATAATTTTCACTCAAAACAATTATTTCTTCTGTTTTCCTTCCCCCATTCTATTTTTTTTTTATTGTCATGCATTTTGCAGTAATAAATTCGCGGAAAAATCGCGCACGCGAGTTTAACTCCCGAGTAAAATCCGAATCCCTGAAAAAACATCCCCGGAAAAAATATCCCCGGAAAAAATATCCCGGAAAAAATATCCCCGGAAAAATTATCGCCAAGAAAAATTCTAATATTTAATTCTTGATAATAAATATTTAAAAATCCTAATTTTAATAATTTACAAAATGCATTTTAGAAAAAAATTTCTTTATTTATTATGACATATAAAAGAGTTAAGGGTTCGATTCCCCATGAAATTAAAATCATTTTTTCTTTTCTCAAATTTTCATTTAATGTGGTATGTGGGGAGTGGGAGGGGGCTTCGCCGGGCCTCCGGGGATATTTTTTCCGGGGATATTTTTTCCGAGGATATTTTTTCCGGGGATATTTTTTCCGGGATTTTTTTTCCGGGGATATTTTTTCCGCCACCCGTAAAATCCATTCGAGATTGAATTTTAATCGCTCGGGTACATTCGTCTCGATTAAATCAACCACTCGATCACATTAATTATTATTTGATGTATTACAACTCGCGATGTTTCAAGTCTTATCATCGTTTCATTATTACTCTAGTTATGGTATTTAGACCGTAGAAAGCGTAACTGTATGGTGTGGAGGTACATAAATCCATTGGCGTGAGAAACTCGGAGGTTGAAACAAAGTTGAAAAAAAGAAAATACTGGGGAATCGGCGGATGCAAGACTCATTGCGAAACGAGAATCCAGTCGAGTCGATCTCGATCTAGAATTATTAAATCATTCAACGAGCACTCGACGTAACAAGATCGGATTGCAAAAGATCCGAAGAATCGGAAAAAATATTGTTAGTTGTGGATACGTCTGGACTAACTTTCCATTCTCACGTGATTCCCATTTAATTCAATTCATTCCGCAAGTCATAATCAATCAATTCCTCAATATTTTCAAATGCATCATTAGTCGAAAATTAATGGAAATTTACGGTACGTTTCTTGGAAATTTCAGGATCTTTTTAGATTAGAATTTTACCGAAATTTTCCATTAACGTTCGATAAGAATCAATGAAAACTGTCAATTTTCTGGAATTATCCCATGAAAATATAAATCCGTAAAGTTCAGATTAATGTATTAATAAAGTTTGTTAATTAATCAATGAAGTCCTATTTTTGAATTTTCTGTAAATTTTTCCGAATGGAACATTCGGATATAATTGATTTTTTTTCACGGATGCCCCAATTTTTTATTCAAGTCGAACCTTCTCTTATCGCAATCGATATTGAGCCCTTGTCGTATCACATTGCGACAACTCGACCACTGAACTAGTGAAAACTGACTCACGCGATAACGCCTTATCACAAGAGGCAATTTAAATACGAAATTGAAAAAAAAAATCGTACACATTCAATTGAGTTTCTTTTGCTCCAAAAAACAACTCTTATTTCAATTTTCATTACCCTACAATCTAAAAATGATTTCCAATAATAAAAAATCGATAATTGTTTGAAATAAAAAAAAGGTGGGAAAAGATGAAGTATCAATGCAATAATAAATTAAATACTTTCAATCATTAGTTACATTAAAGAAAGGGGGAAAGCGTAAGAGTGATAAAATAAATAAATTAGCGAGAACTGATTATGAATAATAATTATAAATAATGGGAATGTGTTAAGTGAGAGAATGAATGGAGAGGAAAAATGTGTTCGGTGGGAGGAGAGTGAAAACACTCGAGGAATTTTAAAGAATCTCCACAAATGCACAGGTGGCAGTTTAAAAAATGTGGGCGAGGCCCCAAGGGGATAAAAGCAGCCCAACCCGGGATTACAATAGGGGTAAAAAAATCTCAAAAAATAAATGGGAATTTTTGTGTTAAAATTCGAGGTGCACCGACCCCTTTCCAGGTCAGTAGATCCTCTTACAAGAGTATACAACAAAAAAAAAAGGACCTGCGTTTTCTTCCCTCTTGGAATTTTTATCCCTCAACCAGTTTTCCCAGAAAAATTGAGAAGTGGTTCGAACATTATTTTATCAATCGCTAATGAAATTTAATTTACAAGTGAACACCTGGTAGACACATGCGTGTCATGTAGAGTTAATTAAATTCTTGTAGAGTCGACCATTTGCGTGTTGAATTAACGAATTATATTTATTCCCTCTTTCCGTTCGAGAAAACGTTTCTAAAGAATTACAAGGATTCGATTTAATTAGAGCATTAATAATTCTTTACCTATTGATACATTAATGTATTAATTTGGTAATTTATTGGTGGGAAAAGAAAAATCTTTATTAATAAAATTGATAATTTAGTTGAAAAAAAAGTAGCATTTTTTCGAATCCAGTGTTTTCCCGATTTCTCGAAATTGAAGGAAGATAATGAGATTTTCATAACCACCTTTTTTCTACCTCTCATCTTCTTCTACAAAAAATGTCTATACAAAAAAATCGCTATACTCCTCCAATTCCGAGATATTGGCAAAAAACTGGTCTCGAAAAAACTTCACTTATTCAAATTTACCCCTTCGCTGCCGAATCATTTGTTCTAGGATAAAAAATAAAATACCAGATGACTAGTTATTTAAATAATGACAAAATTACATGACGTCAGCGATAATAAATTAATTCTGGATCCTCCAAAGGCGAATAAAATAAGCAAAAGCAATCATAAATTCGCGTAATGATTTCTGAATTATCGAATAGAAATAACGGATAACATCCATAAACACAATTTCATTCCGTTTTTTATTTTCATATCGTGTACCAACAATCGCCAATGCCTGGTGATCGTTAAATTTGATGTTCCATTATGTAAAAGCAATATCCCCTGTTTGAAATTCTTTGAATCTGCTATTAGCATACATTGAAGAACTTTTCAATCTACAATAACATGCGGCCACCGTTGAATTCTCTTCCCATTATACATTCGCCACTATCAACTTTATCTTATAACACACGTGAATAAACTCGAGATTATAATTGTGATAAGTTTAAATGAGAGACGATAAACGTAAATTCGGTGTTTTAATCAATTCCATGCGTCATCTATCGAGTGGTTGAAAAAAATTATTCCCGTCATGATTCATTTGCTTGCGAAAAATTTTATCAAAAGATTATTTCTGGGATTGAGTTGTCCAATAAAAATGGAAAGAGTAAATGGATGATATGAGTCTTTGGCACAATTAAGTGGAACTTTTACACTGCATTAATCTGGAAGATTATTAATTAATCCGAATAAACAAGCGAAATGGAAATTCTCCTTTGAGACTGGAGCAGAGGGAAAAATATATATTAATTTTATCCTCGAATTTTTCATTCGCGTTTCAAATTATTTCTGTTTACCTTCAATATTGCTTTTCCAGATAGGGGAAATGTCGAGGCAATCTCATTTTTCAGGGGAATGAGGAGAAAGATTGGAGTTTAAAGAGTCGAGGAAGAAAAGCGGGTGAAGCAACAAAAAAATCGCTGATGATGCGGTTCCTCTACTATTTTTCTCTTATATTTTTTTATAAAATACTTCATCTCCTTATCAACCCTCCCGCAGCTGCCATTTCATATAATAATTTTTGATTATAAATTATTCGATGATTGATTGGTTCCTAATCCCCAATATTCCAATTAATTATTTTCCCCCAAAACTACAAATTCATCAATTAATCTAATTACTTGCAATTCCTCAAATTTATTAACTACAAACAAATCCATATATTTCACTAATTTCTTATAAATTTCGTCATCAGAAATTAATTAATTAACCAAATGAACTTTTAAAATTGATTACTTTTTCCTCTACGATCGCGACAGAAAAACTAAAATATTTACAATGAAAAATCGAATAAAAATAATCATAGATTGCCAAACTTAAATAAACAATAACAATAATAGTAATCACAAAAAATAAAATGAAAAATTGATATTGACTTTTAAAAATCGGGCGCCCAATAGAATTATTTTGCCAATGAGAATTTTGTGGTCATTTGTAAATTTTTAGTGGTAACAACAATTCCATGCATTCAACCTGCAATCGCATCATACGTGTACTTCCACCTGAGGAAAACTCGTCGCATAATGGTGTCTCCGGTGTCTCCGGTGGGACGCCGTAACGAATCCAAACCCACCATGAATTACCGCAATTACGCACAAATTACCGAGTCTATCTCTATTATGTTCCGCCGGTGGCCGAGGACGACTATTACTTTCATTTCTCTTCGCTCATTTTTTTTACTCTCATTCCCTGGTATTTCTTTATTTTCGCCGAGGAGGCCAGACCAATTCTCCATCTTTTTTTTTAACTACCCTCATTGTATTTTTATTTTTTATTGCAGTCTGACTCTCGTTCATGGTCTTACCATGACCTTGGTCATGGTCACGGGGAAAATCAGACTGACATGCGGTTTCTATTTATTCATAGATCATACATTTCTTCAGGAATTTCTCACATTTTTTTTTACAACAGACTCAATCGTATTTTGGACTCAATTATTCATTTTCCGGATTTTCCCAATTTTTAATCAACAATAATATAACAATACTTTTGGGACTGGAATTTTGGATCTCTAATTTTATGGTGAAAATTTCCGCAACTTCCACAGATCTAATCATAAATTTCATGAGAAATTTCTCTGCGTGAAATTATTTCCCGGGATATCTCTCGTTTCTCGTGAATATTCGATGATTTCTCTAATTGTTATTAATTTATTATTGTTACAGAGGAGCGACAACCTCGACTTGTCACTGAGTGTACCTCAGCATCACCAGAACACGTACCACCACGACGGGGGCTACAACATGGGTGATCAAGTGAGTTCTATTAATTATTCTAATTATTGATTAATCAGTGAAACACTATCGATTACCAATAATTAATCATTCATTATTCAAGTGTATCGTCTTACCGTGAATTTTTCGGTGGGGAAATCTCCCAGAGTCTAATGACTCGACTGAAAAAAAATCTTGACCCCCCGAATTTAATTCCAAACACCTATTTTTTAAATTACGTTGCAATATCTGTAGATGTGCTTCACATTCACGAGATGCAACAACAGTTAGATGGAATTAACTCTGGTAATTAGGTCATACCAATTAAAGACGAGAAAATGCCCGACAATGTAATCAGAATCGCCTCGTTCTCTTTTTCTCATCCCCTGGCTGATTGAATTATAACAATCCGTTGTTTATGCATAAATAATTATTTTCACTTCAAATTTTTGCATTTTGTCACTATTCGATGGCATCAGCAAATGCCACTTGCAAACAAAATCATAAAAGTGCAGAAAAAACGCGGGGAAATTATGAAATTATGAAATTATGAACATACACGGAGAGAAAAATCTATGAATTTTTATATTGTGATTCCGATAAAAATTACTGTGCTGCCTTACAATCTAGGTCTAAACTGCAGGCCTGAGAAAAATTACTATGCCATGCAGTAACATTTCTTCATCGACCGAGGAAAACTTCGTTATCGGCCAAATAAAAATTCATAGTCGTCGCAACAGTTACC